TATATATAGTGGGGGAGGAATATATTTTTTTCTCTCCCCCATCTCTTAAAATTATTGTTAACATTCCTGAAATACTTTTTGGACCATGTATTGAATACAGACACATCTGGAGGTTGCAATGTATAGATCTTCTTTTCTCCAATGATTACATCAACAAATTTCATTAAAGAAAAAATGTTGACACACAATTTCTTTCTGAACTTATAGACACACCCATAAATAGAAACACAATCCTACCTTTGTACGCAGATTTTGATTTGTAATCATGAGTTTCATCAGCCATTAATGGCATGGGTATTATTCGTCCTGTTCTTTCTGAGACACGCACTCTTTCCCCTTCTTCAGTGAATCGCCATTCAATTTTTGTAGGCAATCTGCAAAATTGGTATGTTAGCATTTGAAATCAAAGGAACATTCATTAAGGCTTTAAATTTTATTTTTCCCTGGCTGTTTCAATAACTGTTTAGCACTTGACTCACAAGAAATACTAGACAATTCTTGACAATTCATAACAATATTGAAGTCAACAGTATTCCAGGAAGTTTTGACCCATTTACAGACCTGAGTTAATGATGGATGTTTCAATTTTCCCTGTGGTGTCAATTCTTGTAATGATATCTGTTAATTCCATTCCTTGCACTGATATGCTTTGAAAGGCTTGTTTATAAATATGTCTAGTGGCTGCAATTGACATGCGAGTCCTGCCAGAATAACTGCAACGGCTAATTTTTGTTTGATGAAATCAGTGAAAAAGGCATGAAATTGATCGCAAACTAATAGAGCTGTTTTCTTAAAAGAGCTCCTGGTCTTTCCCCTCACACTTTATTAAGCCATATCTTTAAACCTCCTTCATCTATCCAGCCTTTTTGGTGCACAGGAATATGAATACTTGTCGGAGGTTTTCCTCTTACGCAAAGTCTCTTGAAAATAAAAAATGAAGGCACTTTGGTACCATATGCGCAACAAGTCTGAGCAAAACAGAGTAGTGTGTTTTTTCATGTCCAATAGTTTAAATATTAACAATTTTTACATCTTTTTGGGTTGACAGTTCTACTTCCAGGAACATTAAATATTAATGGAACTGCATTCATGTTTGTTATCTTCTACATTTCAAAGGGAGTATTTTTTCTTGATTGAATTACATTCCATTGAAAAGGTGAACATTCTTCTCTTCATATTCCACTGGCAGTCTGTATGATATTATGGTTCTAGCATGCATCAAAAGACCATGCCTTTTCAAAAATCTTCTACAGCATGACATTGACCCAACAAAATGTTCAGCAATCTTTCTTCTTGTACTATTTTTAGCTTCTGTAATAATCAATTTTGTAGAAATAGAAATTCCTATTTTTCTGTGCTCTATTACATTTGGCCTCTGAAATTTCTTCCCATGAAAACTGCCAATTTTTCAGAGAAAGAGTGAGCTTTTCCTCATCTTTACACCAGCCACGTTTAGTTTTCTCAGTGGGTCGTGAGCCAAACTTCTGTTCTGCTGCATGATTATCATGTTTAGCAACTTTTAACTTGTAAGCAGCTGTATAAGACATTTCCTTCTCAGTCACTGTGAAGATCAACTGGGGAACGTTATTAGGAATAAGAAGAAATTCAATACCTAACCATTATTCCATGAAATGTGCTTGCGCAGCACTTGGGGGAGAGAAAGAAATAGTTATTTTAGATGCAAAGAGAAACAATTATCTTAAATGCAACGGAGAAACGTATTTTTAGATGCAATGTAGACTCTGTCAGCTGGAACCATTCAAACCACTTCCTCTGGTATTAAATTATAATGTTCTAGGAATTTTTACAACAAACATTTAGACAGTTAAATATGATAGTATTAGTGTACAATACAAACCTTTGATTTTTGTAATGCTACTTATTTAACATCAGGATAGTTACAAAAAATTCCTATCTGTTGTATAAGATGCATCCTGTTTTTTGACAAGTTACTGAAGTCTAAGTGATCTAATACATTGACAAACACAGTATTGTTAATTTCCAAATCTTACACTTACTTGGCAAATCCCCTATGCATACAATTTGCACCTACCAACTTATTGTCAGAGATCTCACATGCTCTAATAACAAGAATAAAAATGTGAATTAACTTACAAGTCTGAAGGATCAACAAGGGAAACTTGGTTTGTAACCAGAAGGGGAGCTTCTGACAACACTGCAACACCTGGGAAGTCCTTATCTTTCCCAGTAAATCTCATATGACAATTCAACCCTTGCACTAAAACCCAATTCCGTTCTTGAATGACTCTTGAGACAATGCCTTGTTTTCCCTTGTCTCGGCCAACTAACACCTGAACCTGAATGTACACAAAATTGTCAAATTTAAGTTCTGCAATTTCTCAAAATTATTTCAACATATAAAGTACAATAAGTCATACCCTGTCTCCTCGAAAAATAGACCACTCAAGAATAGGTTCAACAAAAACTTTCTTTCGGTGGGTGCCACGTTCATTCTGTTGTAAGAACTGATAAGTCCAAGGTCTGTTTGTTGTGAATCTAAATTTCTTTCTTTGAACAGTTCTTGGTAGGTACTGAATTGCATTAGGTGTCTTCCAATACACCTGTAATTAATAAATAACAATATAATAGGTAAATCACAATTTAATGTTATTGAAATTACAAAACTTAGGATAAAAAGGTACTGAGGTACTGTGCTTCAATTATTTCAGAGCTACCTAGAGAACAGAAAGAAAGTTGTCAAAATAAATGATGTTAAATCATAGGAAAGAACTACGATGAAAGGAGTTTCACAGTGAACTGTCCTTGCACCTATACTTTTTTATACTATACATTAATAAAATCTTAACTGTTCAACAAAAGGATGAGCATGTTTCTTTTGCTGATGACACATGGTGATTAGTTAAGGCTGATACTTGGTATAGGAGTTTGTATTAAAGCAGAAAAAGGGATAACTCTAATTTTGACTGGCTATTTTGGAATTTTCTAGGCTTAAATAATGGGAAAACTGTATTAATTACACATGGTAGCTATATATTGATAGTATTCATGTAAATTTTCAAATCAAGATGCATTCCTATGACTATTTGCTATGACAAAGACTATGATAAACCAACTTGTAATCGTCTGGATATACATAAAGTGATTAAGACAAAATATTTAGGTGCTTATATAGATGCTCATTTGAAATGGTCAGCACTTGTAGATAATATTGTAAAGACTATTAGATACATTATTTATGTTTTTACAAATTAAGGATAAAATTAAATACTCAACAACTTTTAGTTAGGTACCACATGTTTGGTCTAAGGAAAAAATCTTAAAAATATTATTTAAAAAACATATTTTGTATTTGACTAACAATTTATCCAAAGAAAACAACATTCTATTAATCAAGAAGTTCTACCTCGAAAAAGCTTTAATGTTAAACTTTCCCAAAATTTAAAGTGAATTCAGAGAGTTTTTGCTCTGGAAAACATGTTATTTTACCTCCTTTACAGGTGAATAAGCAACAAGTCATAGGTGTGTTGGTAAAAAGGTTTTTAATATATTGAGTTCTCATTTGAATTGTGATTCTACCATTCCTAATGTAGGAAACTATTGAGATCCTGCCTCATTGAACGCAATAACATAATTAAGGATATACTCAATCTTAGTACAATTTTGATAACGAAGATTTGGTAGTTCTGACAGCGTTACTTTCTTATATTCTGCATTTGTTATTTTATTATTAGTTTTCTTGTACAAAAATGACGTGTTACTTTAATTGAATGTTATATAATTTCATATGGTTATTTCAGGGTCACACACAGTATCTCATATCCTCGCAAAAAATCAATGTTTAATTTTTTGTTATACAAAAAACCTGAATAAAAACACAAAAAATTTCTGACAATACACTTTGATGTACTATCTATTCAACTTCAGATGTTAATAGTCACAATGCAAATTCCATCTGGTTTCAGAAACATGAATAGCTCACTGACTTAAAAGATTACAACATTTACGTGATTATTATTCGATTCCGGGAGGACAACAAATGTATTTGGTAAATTTGAGGAAACTCCCTCCATCAAGTAACTGCAAAGATCTTTGTATAGTTTGCCATTTATTATCAATTTATTTATTACAAAAGCAATTGAAAACTGGACTAAAAATTAAGGTGTTAATTCTTGTGATTTCAACTTCCAGAACTAGAAATACCTGTTCCATTGAACGTTTTATGTATCTTTCTGGTAGGTTCGCATATTTCTTCGTTAATTCACCAACGTTTTCGAACAATAATAGAGTCAGTCTCATTTTTAAATACTAGTATCTTCTTGCAAAAACTAAACAAAGTGTTTATTTTAAAAAAGCAAAATCAATTTCACTAATCTTTCTATTCAATCACTTCAGTCAGTTCCAAAAACCACTAAACATAACCTCAGTAAATCGATGCTATAGAGTAATACCCAGAGAGTATACTTCTGGTAATACCCAGAGAGTATTTTACCACAGAGATTTTGCACTTGGTTTGTCTAAGAGTACACATGCCGACACAAGGGAACAAATCGGGATGGGATCGGATCGACATTCCGCCTTAGGTTATTCCATGACATTTTCAGTCTGCTTTATTTCTTATATCTTTGCTGCTCTCTAGACGCCACAGAGGTGTACCAATACAGCACAAGTGTACCAATCAGAGAATAGGGTACCAGTCATACTCTTTGGAACCAACCACCAACCACGGTGTATCAAACAGTGTATCCGTGATGATCCGTGGATTCTACAGTGATATGCTCCCATACGTGGGTGGCGTTATAATATGTGTAACAAAATAAATATTGATGCTTTAAAAAAGGGGACGTAAGTGTTTTGTTTGCGATGTCGCAGCGATTCATGTAATTTTTATCAAGAAACTTTTCCGAAGCGTGAAGATATTCAAAAGAAGTGAGTAAATATTGTACCTCAGGAAGAAAAGAAGGAAAAAAAAAGGAAAATTAAACGGCGAATTGAACATTAGCAAAAAGCACTTCAGCAGTGAACAGTTTATTGTAATGAGAAATATGCCTGAACTAAATACTTCGTAATAGCACAGAGGCCGTGGTAATAGTAGGTACAGGAGGCTAGAACATGTACCAAAATATTTTATACAGTTCTTATACACTGTCTCTAAGTAATTTGTAAAATATTACCAACCAAAGCATCATTACGTAGTAATATCATTAATAAAATTAAAATTGTCCAAGAATTAAATTGTAGAATAGAAGAAAGGGTAATCTTTTTATAAATGTGTATTTTTCATAGTACCTTAGAGTGTT